AATATTTTAGTATATATGGTATCTTTAAATTTGATTTTTTTAGATACAAGAGTTTACATGGAAAATGTTTGGATCTATTGAATATTATATTATAAATATTATATATGTTACTTAAAAATTGATATAACTTATTAGCTGAAAACTAATTTAGTTCAAAAATTAAGTCAATATTTGATTGATTATTTAAAATTTTAAGCTCTTGATTATTATTATAAAATATAGTTAGATTAATAATTTAATAATTATTAATCAATCTTTGTATTAATTTAAATTCAATATTTCAATAACTATTAACCAATAAATCTAAATTAAAAATTTATTAGAATTTTATTTTCAAATATTAAAATTGTTCAAAAATCTATCTAATATATTGTTTATCTTCTCAAATAAAAACTATCAAAATATATATAATAGCTCATAATCATATATACATTCATATAAATGTAATAAAAAATGAAGATTTAAAGTAATTTTTTCTTTTCCATATTTTCATTTTATTAATTTAATTATTGTAATTAATCTTTTATGAGCCTTATTTAATAATTTAATATACTAAAATTTTACAAATCTAATCTATATATACAATAGTTTTGGAATCACGTGTGGTCATTTAGTTTACCTGTATAAAAAATTCAATTGTGTCACATTATTTATTATTTATTACATATATATATATATATCTACATATATTGATTTTGATTGGTTATTTGCATTGATTGATCATCTATATGTAAATACTAGAAATTAACGTATTGCGAAATTTATGTATTGCAAAGTTAATTTATATGCCGCGTATGTCATAAATGTCGTGAATTAATAATAATACACTTTAATTTGTATTTATATTTATATATATATGCCGCGAATTTATATGCCACGAATTAATAGTGATGCTATGAATTAATAGTGATGCCATGAATTAATAGTGATACCGCAATTAATAGTGATACACTTTAATTTATATTTATATGCTACGAATGCTGCGAATTAATAGTTTAATGACACTAAAATTGAGATAAGTACCTCTTTAATCATGACTAATATAAAATATTTATAAATAAATAACCAGCATTTATTTTTCGGCTACTTTCACTAGGAGAGTTATGCTTGTCATTTCTTGTTGCTATTTCGGGTCCCTCCCATGTGAATTCATAATTTTTTTTAAATAACATACTCGTATCGTGGTTGGGTAACTTAAATCACAAATACATTTTATGACGCATTGCTTTTATTCTAACTTTTAATATAAATCTTACTGTCCTTGAAACACCTACAGAGAGAAGAAAGTACCTTCACCGGGAGAATTATGCTCGCAATCTAGCAACTGCCCCTTTAAATATTTCAGAACCCAGTCAAACAATCCCACTTGCCTTGCGTCAGTTCAGTCATGGCGATAAGCACGTTAGATGATAGGATTGTGGCATTTGCACAGTCTGCCAAAGTATGGAATAAAAATATGGATGAAAGAGAAAGTAGTTAATTCATCTCAGAGAAATCTGCAATTTACGCTTTGCTGTAATAATAGTGCTGTCCAACTCCTGCTACTTTCTCAGGCTCCATCTATTCTTTATGATCTCTTGACTTGTATGGATACCCGTAGCCATAATTTTCAGAAAAAGATTAGAGAGTATAATTTAGCGCTAGCTTTTACGTCGATGGGAGCCAAGATTGATGAGAGAGTGACAGGTACTGCAGGAATATACTCCTTTCGAATCCAAGGTGAGGCGTATCACCAAATCAGATCTCTTCTTTCTGAACAAGAACGATCTCAATTTGCTCAGCTTTATATTCACGATAGTAACCGCGAGCTTATAAATCGCCACAATGTAATGCCAAATCTGGATCTTAAAGTATTGAAAGATCTTTAGCAAATGATCTATGATGTTAATCCTTATGCGTATGCTTTTAAAAATATTAGAGAATACATACTGAATAACCAAGCACAGACTGTGCAAATGCGTTTGATCGCAAAACGGTTCACTGATGGACGCAGATATAATTGCCCAACTGGTAATGAAGTTGCAGCTATTATAGTTGGTGATGGATCAGAGATTGTGGATAAATATGATATTATACTGCGAGAGTGTGGTGGGGCCTCCAAAGTATTTCAGAACTTTCCCCTACTTATATGCCTATGCATTATATTTTGATGTTTCCCAGAGGTGAAGATCGCTGGTGACCTGACATCTTTTTAGCAAATAATGAGTATATGGAGACCATAGAAGAAGAACGGGAAGAGACTCAAAAAGAAGAAGAAGAGGATAGAATAGCTAGGTAGCATGAAAGAAAAAAAAAATTCGTTATGATGAATGAGTCTTATACTTTTCATTTGCAGGAGCGGCAAAATAAAGGAATCAGTATTCTTCTATATGGTCGATTGTTACAACAGTTTATTGTCAACTCATACGCCGCAATTGAACAAAACCATCTTATTTTCTTGTGCCATAATCAAAAAATACTTCGTATGGAGCTATATCAAGGAGTGCAGGATGCCATAGATGCTGGAGATATGCATGCTGAAACTGTTGGAACTCGAGTTATTCTAGTATCATCATTTACGGGGGATCCGAGGCATATGATGCAACTTTATCAAGATGCTATAGCCATCTGCCGTGTCAGTGGATTGCCGACATATTTCATCACATTTACTTGCAACCTGAACTGGTTGGAAATCAAAATCATATTATCTCAAGGTCAAACAGTGGCAGACAGGTCAGATATAGTCTTGCATGTATTTCAACTAAAGTTAAAAGAACTAATAGACGATTTGAAGGGACCGAAAAAGATGATATTTGGATGTACCATTGCTCATGTCCATATTGTTGAATTTCAGAAGCACAGATTACCTCATACATATATATTGCTTATTCTTGATTCCCATTTTAAGCCAAATACACCATCAGGGATCGATACTGCAGTTTCTGTAGAGTTGCCAGACTCTTGCTTACATTCTGACATTTTCGAAACAATATCTAAGACAATGATGCATGGTCTATGTAGTATATGTTATCCTGATGCTTCATGTATAAAGAATGGAAAGTGTTTAAAGAGGTATCCTCGCGAGTTTCAAGAAAGCACAACATTGAACAAAGATGGGTATCTGTTATATAGGTGACGGAATAATGGACGAAAAGTGAATGTCAAGGGTATTGATTTAGACAATCGGTGGGTGATTCCACATAATATCTACACCGTCTCCCAAAAAGAACGCAACACCTGATTGTCGATCTTTAAGTGTTAAAATTTTGATCAGATCAAATCAAATCATGATGAAATTTATAATATAGATAGAATATAAGTATGCTTAAATAATGTATAAGTTAAAATAAATATTAAATTAATAAAAAAAATTTTTATGATAATTTTTTTTAAAATATACTGTTGCATTATTTTTGGAGTTTTTTTAAAAAAATGATAAAATTTATTTATTTATAAAAAATTAATATATATAACTATACAAATATATTTGATTTCTATTACCATCTTGTATAATCACCTTTTGTCTTAATAATATCATTAATTCTTTTAGGCATTGTTTCTATATATTTCTTATAAGTTATTTCAGATATTTCATTCCAAATCTCTAATAAATTATTCCAGAGAGTTTCTTTGTCATTAATATTAATATCTAAATTATTAATTCTTTTTTTAATATTATTCCAGATATTTTCTATTGGATTTAAATCTAGAGATTTTGATAGCCAAGAAATAGTTCTAATTTTGTTATTTTTTATCCATCTTTGAACTATTTTAGCTTTATATTTGGGATCATTATCATGTTGAAATATAATATCTTTAGAAGCTAAATGATAATATTTTAATGAATACATTAATTCTTCTTTCAAAATTTGTTTATAAAGCTCTGCATTAAGATTTCCTTCAATTTTAGATAAATATCCTGTACCATAATAAGTAAAACATCTCCATATATTAATGCTATCTTTACTAAATTTAGTTATAGGAATTATATGTTAATTCTTTAAAGGTTCTATAGATTTTCTATTTTCTCCAGCAATATTTACGTTCTTCAGCTTCAAAAAGTTAAAATTTAGTTTTATCAGACCAAACCACCATACTTCAATCTTTTATGGTCCAATTTTTATGTAATTTTGCAAATTCTAATCAGATTTTTTTATGTTTTTTACTTAAAAAAGGTTTCTTGTGCTATGTATATGCTTTAAATCCATTTTTATTAAGAATTCTTTGAATTGTGTTGACACTAATATTTATTTTTTCATATTTTATTAAGGATCTACATATATGGCAGTTTTACATTTTTTTTTAGAATTTTTTTAATGACAATACGTTCTTAATATAAAGTAAGTTTAGGTGGATGGCTAGGAATAGGTTTATTTTCTAATTTGTTTGTTTCAAGATTTTTTTTTTATGTCTAGATATAGTGGAATAATGAACATTGTTACTAATTTTGATAGCAACTTGATGTAAACTATAACCTTCTTATAATAAGGTAATAGCCTTTGCCCTTTTCTCCATAGATAACTGTCTTGAAAATATTTGATTTATATAAGGTTTGAATAAATTTTTGCATTTTTATATTTTTACAAAAAAATGTCAAAAGTTGCACAACAGTAAATTTTTATTAATTGCATAATAAAAATTTTTTTTTATTATTTTAATCACTATTCTAATTTATACATCAAATATATTATATTATATACTGTATATACTATAAATTTTATCATGATTTAATCTGATCTGATCAAAATTTTAACACTTAAAGATTGATAATCAGGTGTTGCGTTCTTTTTGGGAAATGGTGTATCTTGCAGCCAAATATGATACTTATACTAATGTTGAAGTCTGCTTATCCATTTTTACTATCAAGTATCTTTTTAAATATGTTTATAAAGGATATGATCATGTAACAATGGTATTGGAAAATAGGGATAATAATAAAAATTATAATGGAAGTGAAAAAGATTGAATAAATAAAATGACTAACCAGTATGATGAAATCAAACAATATATTGATGTCCATTATGTTTCAACTTCTGAGACAATCTGGCGCATCCTCAAATTCAAGCTTCACAATAGGTTTCCATCTATTAAACAATTGTAAATATATTTTTCTGATCAGCAAATAATTATATTTGATGACAAAGTGAATCTTACTGAGATTATTTCAAGACCAAACATAATCAACACAATATTAACATAGTGGTTTGTTACAAATACCAAACATTCTTAAGCATAATATCTTACTTATACAGAGTTCTCGCAGTATTGGGTAAGGAAAAAAGATCAGAAAAAATAGACCCTATGCTAACAAGGATTTAAAATTGGGAGAATATACTATATACATCTGGTTTCTGGAAAACGTTATTACTTTCGAATACTTCTTAATGTTGTCCCTGGAGCCACATCATTTGAATATCTGCAGATAGTTAATGGGATGCTTTTTAAAATATTTAAAGAGGCATATAAAACAAGGGGTTTATTAGAAGATAATAATAAGTGGAGTCTTGCCTTGGAGGAAGCTAGCCTTTAGACAATTGATAGGCAACTGTAGAATCTCTTTATTTTACTTTTGCTTTGCAATGATGTTACTCAACCAGAAGCATTGTGGCTGAAGTATTTTAATGTTCTCTCTGATGATATTTAGAAGAAGGTACATCACAAAATAACAAATCTTGAATTTATATTAAGGGATGCGCAATTATATAATTATACTCTTCATGAATTTGAAGGTATCTTGCAAAAAAACAATAAATCCTTGTGTGATTTTCCCAGCATGCCCTATCCAATTGCAGCACTAGAATATGTAAAATCTAATAAGTTGATCAGAGAAGAGTGAAGCTATAATAAAAATCAATTTACAGAAATGGCAGACCATACTGAGCAAAGCTTCAATGCTAATCAAGAGATAGGATATATGGCCATCATGACAGTAGTTATAGAAAAGAGAGTTGAATTATTTTTTGTGTATGGTCCTGGGAGGACGGGAAAGATTTTTGTATATAGTTTGCTCTTATCAAGATTACAAGATCAGGAAAAGATTGTTCTTGCAGTTACCTCCTCAGGTATTGCATCATTACTTCTGAATGGTGATCGAATGACACATTCACACTTTAAAATTTCTATTAATTTGACTGCTGAATCAATGTGCACTATAAAACATAAAACCAATCTTGTGGGTTTATTAAAGTGACTGATTTGATTGTTTGGGATGAAGCTCCAATGATGTATTGTCATGTATTTGAAACTGTCAATCATATCTTACAAAACATATTGAAGGTCGTGAATTGAGAATTAGAGCACAAGCCATTTGGGAAAAAGATTATTGTATTTTGTGGTAATTTCCATCAGATATTTCCAGTTGTTCTGAAGGGTGGGCATGAGGATATCATGATAACATCTTTACAAAGATCATCTTTATGGGCTTTTGTTCAGGTCTTTAGACTTACTATCAATATGCGATTGGTTATATGAGTAGATAACAGATAAAGAGAATTTACTGAATGGATATTGAAAGCCAGAGATGGAACTCTACTGACATTAAAATTGTGGGATAGATTAGAAGAGGATTGGATTAGACTTCCAGAAGATCTGCTCTTACCAAAACTTGAACAGAATATTAAAGGCTAAATCAACCTTGTCTATCCTGATTTTATTAACTGTTGTCCTGACTCTATTTATCTGAAGCAATATAGAATTTTGGCATCAAAGAATGAGGATGTCGATGTTAGTTATAAATGATCAGATACTTGCAAGATTTCCTGGTGATGAAAAAATATACTTAAGTATGGACTCTTTGTGCTCAGTAGAAGATAGTAACACTAACCAGTATATACTTTATCCCACTGAATTTCTGAATTTCCTGAAGATTGAAGGAATCACCCACTATCAATTAATTTTAAAAAAGGGTGTACCTATTATGCTCTTGCACAATATTAATGCCAGTGTAGTATTGTGTAATGGCATAAGACTAATTGTCAAAAATTTGGGAGAGTACATTATAGAGGCAGAAATTATCACTGGAACTAATATTGAAGATCGTGTTTTTATCCCTCACATAATAATGTCTTCTTCAGGTATTAATTGACCATTTTTATTGAAACGACATCAGGCTTCCATCCAATTGACCTTTGCAATGATTATCAATAAAAGTCAAGGGCAAAATATGGTGCATATTGGACTCTATTTTCAAAATCCTATCTTTTCTCATGGACAATTTTATGTTACTATCTCAAGAATAATCTCAAGGAATGGTATTAAGATTCTATCTATAGTAAAAAAAGGACAAGAATTTCTAATAGGTTGCACTCGAAATGTGATATATAAGAAGGTATTGAATGTTTAAATACATAATGTGTTATATATGTATGAAATTATAGGTAAATAGAGAAATTGCTAATTTTTTGATACTTTAATTATACTTTTATATTTTATATAACATATGATTGCATAATTAATGTAAAAATAATAAATTTGATATTATACGATAATTATGTAACCTATAATGATCAAATAATCAAATGATATATATAATTTTATAATAATATAATGATAAAAAATTAATATTATTTATTTGTTTTTTATTTTATTTTTTTTATTTTATTATTATTAAATATAAATTTTATTTGTTTTACTATTATTAAATAAATTAAATAAATTAATAAAATTAAAATTATATAATTTTCTATACAAAATAATGGGTTTAATCTAGTAAAATTTATTAAAATTTGATAATTCACATCTAAAAGATATTTTTATAGAATAATTGTTATATACAGTATATTATAAAAGATTTTTCTAATAATTAGCAATAAAGTTCAAAAATGCTTTATTACTATTTAGTTTTTTTTTAAAATATTTCTATTATTAATTATATTTTATCTAATATATTAATTATCAATATCCCTTCTTTCATCTATATTTTTTAACAAACTATTTAATAATACTTAAGAAAAGACAATATATAGAAAAGATAATTAAATATCAAATTGGATTAAAATAAGATATGCAAAGAAATTTATTATTTTTTTTTTTAAAAAACTCTTTCTGTTGATCCTCAAAATTTTAAAAAATTATCTTTTATAATAATTTTCTAAAATAAAAAACCTTTTCACAAGAAACAATCTCAAGAAAAGATAATGATAGTAACAACTCCTTCCTCTCATAATATATATTTAACTTTTGACAATAAGGAAAGGACTACACTAGTTAATAACAATATCCTTATATCCTTGTTTTGCTTAAGGAAGAAGAGAAAGCAAGGACAAACTGATTTACAGTAGGCTTCTTGAGATTTAATATCAACTTTACAGAGCTCTTAGCCAGGCTAGTGCAGGTTAACACCTTTCTAGGCACTAAGAGAGGTTCCATAAGCAATAATCCAAACCTATAAATCAGTTCAAAGTCAGAGCTCCAAAAACCTAGAAAGACATTCAGATCTCTTGAGTTAAACAGTAAAGAACAATAGTAAACAATCACAACAACTGATCTATCAAACTTACGTTACATGAATACAAGTACGTAAAAGCAAATATAATCTAACTGTAACAAAATAACAACTTAAGACATGTCAATACATCATAAAGAAGTAATATGTGTCAATTAGACCATATCAAGAGCAATAAACAAGTAATACACATGTAGATAAACAGAACCAGCTCTATAACTTAAATACGTGAAGAAATAGCATATTGATACAGATCATCCAATTACACAATCAAAAATAGTACTGTATTTACAAATTAACATAAAGAAAAACAACAAAACATCAAAATAACCTGATACACATAATAGCTTATCCATCTTACGTGACAATATGATACAAAAAAAGCAAAATATTATTAGAATTTTGGAATGACGTGAGCAAGAAATCTTTAAAGTACTTGGAAACATTGCTACCAGCTATAACCCTTAACAAGAACTATAGAAAACAAAAATATTACAATATAAGCTAGGATATACAATAGGAGACCAACCATATATTCTAATAGGAGCAATCCATGTGACCTCAATACTAGATAATATTTTAGCCACTCTATTAAATATAGACCCTGAAATCTTAGCAAAAGAACAGATGTTAAGAAAATATATTCTCACTCTGTGGAAAAAGGGACAAGGCAAAAAACAAGATCTCAAAGCTCCTATGCCTGAAGATAAGGTGTATAACATCTTAACAAACAAGACGGGAAATCATACTGCAAGTTACAAGGTGAAAGAATCCAGGAAAATAAATAATATTCCAATGAATATTCAATCAACTTCTATGGAAATGGAGGAAATCCTATTAATCAAAGAAGTTGAAATCAAAGACCAGAATATACCAGAATCAATAGAAGCAGAAGCAATCAAGGAAACAGTTCAAGGAACCTGTATTACAGAGAATATTTCTTACAATATACATAACAGAATACAAGGTTCCATAGTCAATCCCTATTTCATCAAACAAACAGGTACAATTAAATTGGAAGTACTTCAAGCTACACTACCAGGAGATAACAAAGAAGAAGGAATCAAATACCTTAAAGGAACTCTAAGTATTCCCAAGAGACAAAATCTCTTAAAGACCGAGTTCATCAATGGTAATCACTGGATCACCTTTGATATTGATGAAGAAAAGAATACAGTATAATGTTTAGAATCAATTAATAAAAAAGAAGAGGAAAACTTCTCCATCAAGAGAATGGATTAAGACAGAAACATATGCTCAGCCTTTCAGAAATATGCTCTAAACAAAAGATTCTTTAAGCCAGAAAGCTTTCCTTCAGCAAAAAAATAGATCAAAGTATATTACATTAGTGGATATAAAACACAAATGTAATAAACAATCAATTAGGAAGGTGATGGAAGAATATGAAGAAATAGTCAATATTCACAAATATCATATTGCTTTTCATCAAAAAAAATTCAGAATTCACTTCTTCATACATCATGAGCATACCAAATTGGAACAACATTGGGTACTCAAGATTAAAGCCAACCAAGTAAGATCAGTAATAGCTCAAAAAGAATTAGATGATCAAGAAGTAACCCAAATACTTAAAGAAAGAAAGTGTTACTTCTTAAGACTGTATGGGTGAAGGGAAAATCTATAGAACTGATTTCTGAATCACTCAGTTATACAAAAGTGAAAGCCTCTTATATATTAAGAAATAAGATTATTCTAATACCAGAAGATTATATAGTAATATACTTTGAAAATGAGAAAGACTTGAAAGAGGCTCTTAAGAACCAAATCAGTATTGAGAACTAAAGACTTGTATGGAGTGAAAAAAATCACTATCAGTGAAACGTAGAATGTCTATAGACTTAAACAACTCTTCTGAATAAATATACTAGATAATTCTACTGAAATCGAAGAAAAGCAGAAATATGAGACTTATAGAAAGGAAACAGATAATCATACTAAAATGGAATACTAGAGTACGGCACCAATAGGTACTAGAAATAGCAAAAATCACCATATAAGAACTAATAGACATATAACAAGACCAGATCTGCTAGCCACTGGTAGCAATAGGAAACCTTTAAGATGAA